ACCAGGGAAGAATTTCCGTGTAATATGGCTCAGTCCCTAATACTGAAAGGCTTTATTTATTTACTTTTTTTTCAGCCTAGTAGTTGGCTGTACATTGCTCTTCTTTGTAGCTCTCATTCATGTGTCTGTTTAAAATGGTAGTTAAAAATGTGTAATTTAAATTGCCGAAAACATGCAGTCCCAGGGGGCTCATGCTGCTGATTACATACGTTAGTTGTTTTGTATCCTGCACTGCATTATCACGTAATCATGTTAAAGTGGTAACACTTTACTAATGGGAAGGTTCAGTCACTCTTGGTTTTGACTTGTATTTACTAAATGATTTTGTTTTCAAAGATGATCCACACAATATTGTTCAATCTGGAATGATAAAGGACAAAAATAGCATATGCTATTCAACCACTATACTTAAGAAAAAAAGTTGAAATACATTCAGTTTAGTAAAATTAGGTAAAATTCAAACACTGACGCTTATTTCATACATCTCAATCATTTTTATTTTTTCTTTATTTCTGTTCATGTTTATGCATTGCCTCCCATAAATTTGAGAGAAAAGGAAATGTGTTCAGGGAATTTGAGCTAGCACTGTGGAAGTGAAATCAATGATTTAATCTCAGGAACATGAGGTAATGTTGAGCTGCACTGCCCAAAAGTGTCTAAAAGCCTAAGCCAGCAGGCAGGGTCTTACAGCAGTGAAAAGTTTCCTTGACAATAGGATGTGAAAGGACAAGATCCCTGTTAACTTCTTAGTTTGGTCGGCACCGCCTCAGCCATGGGCCATAAGCAAAAGCTGGGGAGTTTTTGCCTTGTGACAATTCCGTGTTAGGCTCTGGATGCCTTTTGCTGGCCGGCTTGACCCAGCAGAGTTGCAAACCTGCTCCCTGCTGGTGTTTCTGTGTGGGGAGCGAGGCGCAGAGCCAGGTGCCTTTCAGGAGAAGTGCCCTAATACTGCTTTGAAGTCATCCCCTGTGCTGGAAAACAGCTTGGCTCTCTCTCAGCATGGCCCTGACTGCACAGAAGCCCCTAGGTCCTGCTGGGAAGGACTGGGGCTCTCCCAGATGCCTGCCCTGCCAATGACCTGCCCTCCAAGAAGCTGCCATGGGGCTCATGCTTGCAGTTTGCACCCCCCTGTGGCAGTGATTGAGAAATGGCCATTAATTTCACAGAATCATAGAATGGCTGAGGTGGGAAGGGACCTCTAGAGATCATCTAGTCCAACCCCCCTGCTCCAGCAGGGACACCTAGAGCACGTGCCACACGGTGGCATCCGGGTAGGTTTTGAGGATCTCCAGAGAAGGAGACTCCACAGCCTCTCTGGGCAGCCTGTTCCAGGGCTCTGGCAGCCTCACAGGAAAGAAGTTCTTCCTCACATGGAGATGGAACTTCCTCTGTTTCAACTTGTACCCACTACCTCTTGTCCTGTCACTGGCTACAACCAAAAAGAGTTTGGCCCCATCCTCCCTACATTCTCCCCTCAGATAGTTGTACATATTGATCAGATCTTCTCTTCTCCAGGCTAATTTAATCTACTGCTTCAAATGCAGACAAACTCTTCTTAGATTTGCTTATCTGTGGCCAACAGATGATGTTATATGCATAAAAATTGCACAAATTCAGCCGTTTACCACTGGCCAGCAATACAGGCTACGTAAAAATCTTTAGTTTAATGAGCAGGGGGATTGCTTAAAGGTATAGAATAAGCACCTATACATCTGAGCTGCGACCTTATGGACCTCCAAGGTAAGCAGGGTCAAGCCCTGACCCTCATTAAGTGTCAGAAGAAGCTAGGTAAGGATATGACTGATCAATATTTTAGCGGATATGTAAGACAGCTTACTCACCTGACCAAAAAAGATTGTGTTATTAAAAACGAATGTTTTTCATTTTCATACAGCAATGTGCTTATAGAATGATAACAGAAGTGACTTACATAGCTTAGTTTTAACAGAATATAGCACATTTTTTCACCTACTAACTAGTCAAGAACCTTTTTCAGGATGTTATAAATGTTCTGTGTCTTTTTTACCAGTTAGTGTGTTGCTATAATCATCGAAGGTTTATTCAAGACTTACTGTTATGGCATGGAAAATGTATTTGCTAGGAACAAACAATCCAGTGGGAGGAGTGTTAAGCAGGTTGCGAACTGTGGCTGGGCAAAAGAGTAATTACAGACTTATCAAAGCTATTCATTTACTCAAAGCAAAGCCGTTGTTCAGCCGCAAGTGTCCCTGGAAGAGCAAAGTCCAGATTCTTAAAAATACTTAGGCATTTAATATGGTCTGTTAGAAAGTTTCTCCATGCTCAGAAAAATGTAGATTGTAATTAAGTTGGCATTACTATGATTCATTAGATGCAAGTTTGCTAGATTTTGCTATTAGGAAAAATTGCTTTCCAAGCATCCTGCTTTCTTTTTTTTTCTGAAAATGACAGGATTTCTGAAGAATTCTTAAGATGAAGTGATTTTTGTTCATTTGTTTTGTTAATGCACACATGAAATAGATAGAGGGGACAACTTAAAAGAAGACAGCTAATGAGAACACATGCAGATACCAAAGAGTGCTCTAGCTCTGCCTGTTCAGTTTAGTTTCTCTGACATGTTCTTATGTGGCTTCTCTTCCATACTGCAGCCCAGCTGACCAGAAGGACAATGTCCTTTTCCCTAAAATCGGCATTTCAATAGAGGGTGTGGACTGTTCAGTGGAGTGAATGGGAAAAACATTTTACAGGGGGATTTTTTTTTGATTCTTGGGGTAGGAGCAACTATGAAAGTAGATGCTCTTATATGAAGCCACCAGGCTTTGAAGGAGATAAAAAGGTAACATTTTTATGTCCTCAAAAAAAGACTGAAAAAAGGGAATCTTGTTGAGTTGTTGAGCAGGCAGTGGGTGATGTGGGTCTCGGGCAGGACGCACAGAGCTGGGATTAAAGGACATACTTTCTCTTTTAAGCGGCATCTGAAGCTAAGGAGAGGCCACAGGAGAAACTTAATCCTTGACTAAGCCCATCAGGGCCCCATGCAAAAAAGGCACTTCCTGCTGCCATGAAGAGGAAACCTGCAGGTGGCCGTCCAGCATTATGTGGTGGTACAGAGATTTATCTTATTTTGAAAAATGGCAACAAAATGTACCTTGTGCTAGAAGGCAGCCAGAGCTGGACTCAGCCCTCTGATGACCCCGTTTCTCTATGCTTATCTCATGCTGTTTCTGTATCAAAATGCTGTGAAGAACAACAAAAAAAATCAGTTACTTATTTTTATCCGTTCATTCCCTCTCTCCCCTCCTCAAACTATCAAAGTGCTGTAGAAAGAAAGGAGGATTGGAATAGGAGTGAAGGAGGTGAGGAGGAGCAGCCATGATTCCCTCTTATTTAGCAGATTACTTAAGTGATCTCATTGGCGGTTCTATGCACAACATATAGCTCACCACAGTGCTTCTTTGCATTATGCAGCTCCTCATTTTAAAACAGGCAAAATGCTATAAAAGTACAAAAATAACCCCTAGCATAATAGTAATCAAAGTTCATTTGTCCGTCAACTGAAAACCTGCAGTAAAATTGCTTAGAGAGAGTAGCAGTAAGTTTCTCAGATATCAGACATAGTGCAAATGTCTTCCATAAGCAAAGCCCTCCTGAAGAGAAGGAAAAGAGAAGGAAGAGAAGGAAGAGAGAAGGAAAAGAGAAGGAAAGAAAAAAGAAAAGCAAAGAAAAAAAGGGGGGAGAGTACAGAGTTTTTAGCACATGTATATATATACATATGTACTATAAAGGAGTCGGGATGCCTGGCAGAAGACCACCTGCACAAAACAGCGCGCAGGAGGCCCGAGCCTTATGGCTCCTTGAGAATGGCGCCACTAAAACATTAATGCCACTCGCGCAGCGGCTCCAGCGTTGCGTTGCCCTGCTGTGACATCGGCACCGCAGCCCCATCTGCAGCACCACATAAACCTGTGGCTGAGCACTCGCATACTTGGGGGAAACAACAAGTGTCTTCGGTCAGAAGGGAGCAGCCCCAGTTATGTCCTGATCGCCTGTGCCTGATGCTCTGTTCTAAAAAATTGTTCATCAGTTCATCAATTATGTTGAAATATTATCAAGCATCTGGATTTACCACTTCCAAAGGAGGGCAGAGATGGCAGCAGCCTCATCCCCGCAGTGCATCGTCTGTGTTTACATGCCTGGAAGCGTTTCTGTGATGGTGGCTGCTGGCTGCTGGCTGGGAAAATGAGCACAGAGTCTGATGCCCGAGTTCAAACATTCGTTGACTGAAGTTGCCTTGGCAAAGCGCGGCTCGAAGCTGTGTTTGGTGCCCTGCTTTCCAAAGAGGCTATGCTGAGAAACCTCCCTTCTTTCTTCCCCTCTTCCTTCCTCCCTGCTTCCTTCCCCTTCCAGGCAGTTGCTTCCATGGGGAATTGGCTGTTCTGGGGAACATCTGGACTGGGAAAGGGCTCCTGGCTGGGGAATGGGGACTTGGTCTGGCCTGATGCAGGGCCTGGGGGTGCCCGTGGTGCTAACAGAGATCCAGCATCATCCATTCTCCGTCCATCATTCTGCATCCATCATCCTGCATCCTATCATCTTGCCATCCAGCATCCTTCATCCGCTGTGGCCGGTTGCGGGCCTTTGCTAGTGACAATTTACGTTAAGGATCTTACGAGCAGCTCGGTGGCGGCAGCTCTTGTCCTCGCGGGGGAGCCAAATACTATCGATCTGCAGCACGGAAGGGTTTTTTGTTGTTGCTGCTGCTGCTGTCGTCGCCGCTGCTGGTTTATTGTCGGGAAGCCGGGGGATCGTTCGGGAGCAGGCTGCGGAGCCGCGGCCTCCCGCATCCCTCCCTGCGGATGCACCTGCCCTGAGGGTATCGTGCCTGGGGCGAGGGGGGGGCTCCGCACCCCGCAGCGATGGTGAGAGCGGCGCCCCCCCTGCATCCCCGCTGCCGGGGACGTCCTCGCGGCCGAGGCGCCCGTGGGCTCTCCTCCCACGCGCCCCGTGTGTGTCTGTGTGTCTGTCCGTGCAGAGCTCCGGAAACACCTCCTACCGCTGCTCCATGTCTTCCTCGGCGGATTTCTCGGACGAGGACGAGGCGAGCCAGAAGTCGGGCACGGTGTCGCCGGCGCCGGGGGACACACTGCCTTGGAACCTGCCCAGGCACGAGCGCTGCAAGCGCAAGATCCAGGGCGGCTCCGTGCTGGATCCCGCGGAGCGGGCCGTGCTCCGCATCGCCGGTAAGCGCCGCACGGCCGCGGGGATGGGGACGGGAATGGGGATGGGATGAGGACGGGAAGGGGATGGTGCTGGAGACAGGGTTTGTACCGGGGACCCCGGCGCGGGGGCGGCCTCAGCTCTGGGCGAGCGCCGCAGCCCCTGGGAGCGGTGACTAAGCTGTTTGGCTTTTATTTATTTATTTACGGCTTTACTTATTTATGTACCGATTTTCCCGGCTGGATACAAGTGCTCTCATTCAACTCCCACGGGAAGAG